TATATATATATTTTGTTATTTATTTAGTTAGTATTCATTTACCAACGGTACATTTTTTTATTTTGATTGACTTTTGGAGCTGCTTTTGGAAAATATATTACCAGAAAACACGTGTGTCCATTTATTTCCTAGGCACTGACGTTAGTGACGTATAAAGGAAAATGGCGGTGTCCTTGTTACAATGGGGGCTGTTGGTACTCACTCGTTAGCCAATGTAGTGTGAAGAACTGCGATTTATTCTAACATTTGTCTCCTCTATGGGATTTATCCAAACGCATACATGATAAAGGTAAGACTTAAGTATCATTACATAGTATGATAAACGATAAACCGCTCAAATTCTAGACACTCTGACAGGCTGATGTGCTTGTAGCATTAGCTCCAGCTAACTTGCTAAGCTAATGCTAGCGAGTAGGTTGTTAAGTCTTTTTCACGTTTGTTTTAATATGTTTTGATTGTTTATTGAGCTTTTAGAAACTCACACTTTTTGTGTTGCGTTAAAGTCGCATTCTATGCTTAACAAGACTATGTTCTACATATTTCAGCCACTGTTATAGAAAATGTTAAGGGTCAGGTGGACAATATTATGCTAAACTACTAATCCCTAAATGTACAATTTCACAGTAAATCAGAAACACACAGTGTAAGAACTTAATATCGATTTTCTAGATTTTACTTATCAGAGAACAAACTTTAATTTGACAACCTTAGAGCTGATGTAGTGGTTTCTAGAACATGTTGCTAAGAAAGCAACTCTATAAATACAGCTAATAATCTGTTAAGCATTTTTACCTTACCCTGTTCTATGATTTAAAGTCGTTTTAATGTGATGCCAGAGAAGGTGTTAGCTGTCAGGCAGCTCGCTAACACAAAAGGAAGGCAGTACCCTTTCCTTGCTTGCTCAAATGACAAATCTAAGTTTATGGAAATATTTTGGGCCATAACAAACTAATGTTTTGAAAATGTAAATTTTCTGAATTAAAAGTCTTTTTTCAGAGCAGTTTTAAGTTATCTTTAACTGTTTCTTTTCAGTTTTTATGCCCCTTAAATAATTTTGCATCTCATCANGAATTAAAAGTCTTTTTTCAGAGCAGTTTTAAGTAACATCTCAGTGTTATGTTTCAGTTTTTATGCCCCTTAAATAATTTTGCATCTCATCACCAGTTCTGTTTATGAGATCATGACTTAAGCCCCTGTCACACCTTGAATATTTAGACCAGGATATGCCTGAGGTACGAAAAATCTGGCAAAAACGCTGGCGTAAGGTGGGTAAGTTATGGGTACGCTGAAGCACGCTGGCACACGTTGACATATGGCAAGTATATGGGGCCATATGTGGGGCTTTACTTGATCGTTGACATGCGTTAAGTGTACGTTACCCAGAAATAAGCCTATCCAAAACTTATGAGTAACTTGTGCATAATTTATAGCATAACTTATTGAGAACTTATCTCCAATGCATATCAACGTATTTGACATGTTCCAGAGGACCGATGAACGTTTTGGTATAAAAAGAAGTTCAGAGGAAGAAACTGTCAGTTCTACTCCAGACTTCATCCCCATCATAAGATGAGCATGAAGGTTAGTGTGATGGATCCTCCCTGCATTCACGACCACGATCAACAAATTTCCTAGCGGACATGACGCTGAATCTGCTGCGATTGCAAACCTTTTTTTTTTTGGAAAAAGGTAATCAGCAGCTAGGTTATTACCGTGATCATAGATATTTTATTTATGCAGCTTGGGTGCCTCCAGGTGCATTGCTGCCCCCCCTCAGGACACTGGCTTGGGCATCATTTCATGGGCATTACGCTGCCGTCGTTATGCATAAGTTGGGCTGTTGTTGGACATATGCTCTGGACCTGTTATGAATACTCTATGTATATGCCCAAAATTGAGGAAATACATTGAAAGTTCAATGTATGCCAGCGTTTTAGGAGATTCTTGAACGTCAGGCATACGCTGTCTAAATCAGCAAGATGTGACAGGGCCCTAACATAAGTAATGCAACTACCAATATTCTAGTGAATGGTTTGACGAATCTAGGTTCTGCTTCACCAGCTCAGAAAGATCCTCAGTCACTAAATGAAATAAATGGCACCTTGCTTTAGCAGTATAATTTGTAAACAAAACAACTTGTACTATAAAGAAATATGTTAACTAAACCATTCGACTTATTTATATTTAATAATGAAGGTGAGATTTTAAGGTGCATATTATTTTCTGGTACATATTGGAATTTGTTTGTGCTGATTGTTGTGCCAGTATTTTCATACTGACAGGTAGTCAGTAGTTGTTGTTTTTCCTCCTGCATCCCAATAGTCCAGCTCAGCAGGTCCATCCACTTCTTCCCCACAAACGATGAAGGAACCCAAGGAGAACATGAGTGGCCAAGCAACTCTGGACCACATCAAGCCCTGCTGGTACTGGGACAAGAAGGACTTGGCACACACCCCCTCTCAGTCAGAGGGGCTTGACCCTGGCACAGAGGCTCGTTATAGGAGGGAGGGAGCCCGCTTCATATTCGACGTTGGAACCCGCCTTGGCCTGTATCCTTTAGTCGGTTAATTTCATTTAAAAAAAATCTTTAACCAGCATCTCAAGGACACTTGATTTTGAATTTTTTTTATATGAAGTGTAGTAAAAGAATGAATCTGAGCAGTGAGAAATTTACAGATAACCTTAATTCCACTAGGAATGGGCTTTTTACATTCAATATATTTAATTTTGTTAAAGATGCACAGGTTTGAATGTTTTTCATAGTAAAGTATTGAGGTAATTCATGTTTGGATTGTAGCAGCCAAGGTAAGCAGTATTATCACGTTTTATTTATAAGAAAATGTGTTTGTATGTGAATCCTTGACTGTTAGCAGGCACTATGACACACTTGCCACGGGCATCATATATTTCCATCGTTTCTACATGTTTCACTCCTTCAAGCAGTTTCCCAGATATGTGAGTCCGACCTATGATCGTCTATTTGTTTCTTTTGTTTTTTAGGTAAATTTTGTTAACAGAAATGAATGTTGGGACGCTTGTTTCCTCAGGTAACTGGAGCTTGTTGCCTTTTCCTGGCTGGAAAAGTGGAGGAGACCCCGAAGAAATGTAAAGATATCATTAAGACAGCCCGGAGCTTGTTGAATGATGTACAGTTTGCCCAGTTCGGAGATGATCCAAAGGTCCAGTATGCATTATACTCTCTCTATCTGTGTTTTAACATCTTTATGAATATTTTTACCCTGAAAATCCTAATAGGCTTATTTAAATATCAAATAATGTCCAAAATAGGAATTTACTGATATTTCCCACTTTAAGCAAGTCAGTCTTTCATAACTTTTTTAGTCTAAAATATTCTCTGAAAACATTTCAATTTTATTTATTATTCCTTTTAAAGTCCAATGTGTTAATAAAGACTGAAATTGTTTATCATCAATACTTCTATTTTTGATGCACTCAATATTAGGGATGCACCGATTCTCTTTTTTCACCTCGGATATGATACCGATATTTGAAGTTTAATGTCGGCCGATACCGAACCAGTATCAAAAACACTACTGAATTATTGTGTGGGATCATTCTTCTGTGCATATGATTTGACTTCCCTTTTCTTAAAAAAAAAAAAAAAAGGAAACAATATAAATGTTATGACTCATTTTTTTTTAACAACTGTGCACAAAATCTTAAACCAAAAGTTCTTTGACTTGGTCAACATGTTTAAAAAAAATTGTCATTATCAAGTATCATCTGTGTGATTTTTTTTTTTTTTTTTTTTTTTTTTTTTTTTGGCCTGTATACTGTTACATGAAAAAAATGTCACTTCTTTACTTTGCTTCTGAAGAAGTTAGCTGCCTCCCGCTGCTTCCTTTTTGTTTGCCGAGTCCGATAATAGGTGTTATAGTTAATATGACCGTGTTGTGTTGTTGCGCTGCCGCATGACGGCAGAGCATAGCACATAGAGTTAGAATGAATAGATCGGCCCCTATATCGAGTCAATTGTCACCGATACAATCTAGTTTTTTTCCTTACATCTGGACCGATACCAATAAAAATATCGAATCGGTGCATCCCTACTCAATATTGTATATCAGAAGCAACACTGGGATTTCAGTAGCAGAGCTTAGTGGAATTTAAAAATCCAAATTTTAAATATTTGTTTTTTGTACTGCTTAAACCCTATAATGTTTTTTGTTTCCTGGGAGATGCAGACATTTGACAGGCTGTGTGCAAAAGGCGCAACAACGTCTACATTTGAAATGAATGGATACATTTCATTAGAGGGAGGAGAGAAATCAGAGGTCATGTGACCTCACACCAGCATTAAAAATCTACTTGATCCGTTCATTAAAAAAAGGCAGCCTGCTTGAACAGTGACACACACACAGTAATGTCAGTTTTTGATGTTCATAATTATATTACATCACATTTAGTAAAATACTGTCCTTTATGAGTGATTAAATACATATTTTTCAAAAATATTTAATTTTAATAGCTCAAATAATAAGCATCAAAGTGTGTATCCTGGAAGATATGTTGCCAGGGTACTCCTTGAATTTCTGAGTGAGGACGCTCCTTCACAGAATAATTCAGATTAGGTTTTACTAGTTGAATTGCCAACTAAAATTCAATGTCAGTTCCTACGTCAATTTAAAAAAAGGGTTGTTGTTTCTGCTGGATCAGGAACATCATGAGCAGCATGCAGACTAACAAATATTCAGCCATGTTTAAAACTGCTCTTGTCCTGACAAACTGCAGCCAAAAAAAGGTTAAAACAAGGAAGAAATGAACAACAACAGAATAAGCTCCAGGTTTCTCTAATTGTCCCACGTTTATTTTGACTTCACCATCACAGTTTAACCTCATGGAGCTCCATTACAGTTGTTATTTTACACGTCTTTTCATACTTAATTCCCCTCTAAGGATTAAAGCTGCTAATATTAATGTGTTTGCAGCAAGACTGAGATGATATCTATGTTTTAAAACTGCTTCTTTAGGCTGCAGTCTTCAAAGCTTCATTGGCTAGTAAAGGCCAACCTGTTTCGTCAGTTCTGATTCTGCTCGGTAAAATCTGGGGGAAACACTCCTGTCCGTCTATCTCACAGCATTGTAACATCTGGTGCCCTCCAGTAACTCTTGTGTTCCTCTTAGCAGTGTTTGTCAAACTAAATCACCCAGGTTTTAATAAATGCGCCTTCTTGTAACAGGAAGAGGTAATGGTTTTGGAGAGGATCTTGCTCCAGACTATCAAGTTTGACCTGCAGGTGGAGCACCCCTACATGTTCCTGCTGCGCTACGTCAAGCAGCTCAAAGGTAAGTCGGTTCAAATACAGCTAGAAAGAAACTCTGGCACAAGGATTCAGACTAACCTTTTCAATATTACATTGCAGGAGAGAAGAATAAAGTCTGCAAGGTGCTTCAAATGGCCTGGACCTTTGTCAATGACAGGTGGGCATAATTATTGGCTCACTGGTTTTTAATCTAGTAACCTGAAAAGATTCATTTTATTCTAGTAGTTTCCTGGCGAAAGTGAGACTTAAACCCAGTTGTCTGTGTCCCTGTAGCCTCTGCACTATGCTTTCCCTTCAATGGGAGCCAGAAATCATCGCAGTGGCTGTGATGTACCTGGCAGGCCGCCTGTGTAAATTTGACATCCAGGAGTGGACGGCTAAGCAGTCATCCCGCCGCTGGTGGGAGCAGTTCGTCCAGGATGTCCCTGTTGAGCTTCTGGAAGGTACTCCTCTCTGTCTGTAAACCTGTTTCCTTCACCTCAGATCTTTCTCATCCTAAATCTGATTCCATCCTCTAGACATCTGCCACCAGATCCTGGATCTGTACTCCCAGGGAAACAAGCCCATCCCGCAGCAGATCCAGGAGAAGGAGCGCGCCTCCGCTACTCCGACATCTATTCCTCCGGTACCACAGGGTCAGCCCCCAGCGGCAAACCCTCCTCCCCCTCCTCCTCCTAAGAAGACCTCCCCTCAGGTTGGCAGCCCTGCACGCCAACTCAAACGATCACATGTAAGAGATACAGAAAATAAGATACCGTCTGCTTTCTGTGTTTAAATATTTTGTTTTAACATGTAGAAAGTAATAAATCTGCTTTTGTTTCAGACATCTCCGAAAGATGAACCCAAACCTCCAGGTATTCCATTTGTCAAATGCTACCCCGTCTTGTAAACGTATCTACTTTTATGTTTGTGAAGAAAATGATACAGAGACAGAAGTTATGTGAGACTGAATAAACTTCTGTCTGCACCAGTTTATTAAATCTGGCAATAGAGTCCCAATTAAACAGAGGTTTGGACTAGGGCCTCTCTAGTATCAATCAAACTGTTTGCAGGCTCAGATTCCCCTCCCTGCAGTCTGCAGCAGCGTGTTTTCTTTTCAGGTAGGCCTGGTTTGGCTCCTGTCATTGGCTGCTTCTGTCTGCGCTGCTGTTTCTATGCACACGGCAGATGCTGTGATTATAGCCAAATGTATATCTGCATTTTATTTTACCATAAAAAGTTTAATTGAAATTTTTTTTCCTGAGATTGGTCTCTGACTCAGCTGAGAGCTGCTTTAGTTTCCATTTAAATTTTATTTTATTTACAGGGAAATTTATAATTTATCCCTAGTTTCATCCTTTTCAAGAGCTATCGGTACATTTTATTTCGATTTTATTAATCATATTAGTATTCCTACTTTTGAAATATGGGATACAAACATTGGAAACTCCAAATAATTTGAATTAGAGGAAAAGTTAATCACATCCATGATGATAAGATGTTGCTGCTGGAAGTGAACCTCCACCCCACCCTAAAGTGTTTAGGTGAGATTCACCAATGTTCTGGGAATATTCTGTGTTTAGTTTCTGATAAGACTCTAAAAAGCTTTATTATCCATTTTGTAGAAAATCATCTTTACAGTGTGGGTCCAATGTCTCCAAGACATTGGTTGTTGTTGTTGGATGAAGTGAATTTTTGAAAAAGTTTTCTTTTTTATACTGTGGATTTTATTTTGGGTGAATAAATTCATACCACACTTTTTAGATTTGACCAAATATAAAAGGTTCATCAGCTACTGTTTTTTTTTTTTTTTTTTTCTCCTATATAAATATATCAGAGAGAGAATTAGCAGTTTTGTCAGTTTATGGCATGTCATTCCAATAAAATGCAAAGCATTATTTCTTTTTTCAATGATCCTCGATTTAAATTAAACCCACACATGCTGACCAGTCTTTTATGCTGTTTTTGACAAATTGCAGAACAAGCTGGGTCAAAGATCCCCAGACTGGAGAGCCCTATGCCCCCCCTGCCTGCATCCCAGCCTCCCCCAGGTAACCATGACACCTGCTGCATCTATCCACCTTTTATCTGTATTTTAGGATTGTTTTAAAAGTGGTGCTGAACTTGGGGGGCCTGGCTTTCAGGACACCCTGCTGTTTGTTTTGCGTTCCCCCCAAACAGACCCTTAATGAGCCACCAGTTCTCCTGCGGTCAATTTTGGCTTACAGAGCTGCTCAAAATTGTTAGTCTGCTTATGTAATGACATTTCGTCTGGACAAAACACGACATGCTCCCAACCTCACCCAGAGCAATCTGATTAGTGCTTAAGCATGATAATGAGACCTCCTGTGATCTTAGCTTGGCTGTTCGTTCCTGTCTGGGAACAGAAAGGTTATTTGGATCAAGTGGGAAAAAAAAAACAACCCTCATGATTCTTACTGTTCACATGCTGAGTGCTTTACTTAAAAACTCATTCTGTCTTTTTCTCCCACACAAGCTCCTCCTGCAGAGGCTGAACCAGGAAGTGAAGCTGCTCCTCCACTTCCACATGCCCCACCCCCACACCAGCCTCCTCCCTTACCCCACCGCCCTCCACCACCGCCACCCTCCAACTACCTTATGTCCACCACCAGCTCCTACATGTCAGGAGAGGGCTACCAAAGCCTGCAGTCCATGATGAAGACTGAGGGTCCCCCCTACACCCCCATGCCCCCCAGCTACCCACCTCCAATCCCACCGTATCATCCGCATGTCTATCAAACAGCTGCAGCACCACCTCCAGGTCCGCCGCCTCCTCCATCCACCTACCCTCCACCCAGCCTGGCCCCTACTTACCCTCCACCAGGCTACAACAGCTACCCTCCACCACCGCCTCCTCGTATGCCCCCAGGCCACGTTCCACCTCCAGGGATCACGCTCCCTCCTGCTGGGTACCCTCCTCCACCCCCCGTGCCTCCAGGACAGTCCCAAGTGCCCCTGCCCCCTCCACCAGGAATGCCCCTCAACCGCGGTGGCTGGATGAGATGATCTCCAAACAGTTGATTTGAGACTGCTCCAACCAGAATGTCAGGTTTTCCTGTCACAAACTAAGAGAAATTCAACTGATTTCTCTTTGGTAAAGCTGAGAATAAACAGCTGAGTTGGAAATAAACTTGAAATGACAAGTCGGGTCTGGGAAGTATTTTTAGGAAATATATTCCAGCTGATCACGTTCAAAGGTTTTGATTCCTACACAAAGCTACTGACTAACCATTAGAATCCATTCACTGAGAATGTACTGAGAAACAGCAGCCCCCTGTTTCTCTCTGTATCACACGTACATCTTCTATGGTCTTCTATGGCATCGCAAAGAGAGGTTCCAGTTGATTTTCTTTTTTTTCTTTCATTTAAATCATGTCCTTTGCATCTTCTATAGTTCTGTTGCTTTTTTTTTATGTTGCCTTCTGTTGCTCACCTTCTTTCGCATTGTCTCCAGTTTTTTGGAAAAACAAAATATGAAATTGTCGTAGTTATGGCTTTTGTAGTTTGTTGAACCATAATCAGTTTTTTTTTTTTTTTTTTGGCGTATAATTTAAGCTCTAAATCCTGGCCTCATGTTGCAAACAGTTCTGCAACTATTAAAGTTTGTATTTTCCTGTTTTGTCCCCTCTTTTGAGTAAAAAAGGTACCACAGAAGTTATAAGTGTTCTGGTTTCTAGTGACTTATATTTAGTTATCTGTAGATTTTGTTTTCTCTATGATGCCAGCATTCATTTTATCCCTGACCGTTAGGCTGTATCTAAAGTTATAACTTCTCCCGATAAGCCAACTTTTTTGGGAAAAGGGGATGAAGCATGTGGACTAAAAACCTTATCACGATATTTTTTGGTACTATTGTCATAACGATGAAGGTGAGGATGACAAAATGATTTTCTCATATAACTGTATGGCTCGGACTGCATACCAAAAGCATCATAGATATAAAAATACCGCTGCTTAAAATTAGACCAACTTAAAATATGCTTCATCAGGGTGATTTATAACACTAAACATCCAAAATTGAGCGCATTTATTCATGTCCGTGTAAATTCTCCGTCATCCAGGTTGCCTTTCAATTGAAGTCGGATTTGTGGCCACTTTTTTTTGGAATGTTTGGAATGGAGAACTGAATGTAATGTTTTAACAATTCATACATTTCTTTGGGAGTTTTAAACATAAAATTCAAATTATTTAGATAACTGATACATGATAAATGATCTATTTTGATACATTTTATAACTGCCCACCCCTACCAGGAAGGCTTTTGTTTTAGCACAAGCCTTATGAGGTACACCGCAGTATGGTGGAGGGTCTGTTATGACCTTCAAGCAGTTTCATTATGAATACTTTAAAATGTTAAATTATAGATGTGTACTCTGTGGCCTCTGACAGGAAACCATTTATTTCAACAGTAGTTATTCAAAGCTGCCAATACTTCACATCATTTTCTTTCCAGACATAAATTCATCTTTTCAAAATTCATTTGAGCTCATGGATTTGAATCCAGATTGAGATTAGCTGTAGGGAAGATAGGATGGGAACTTGGAAATATTGCATTAGAGGTATAAATGCTGTATGTTCAAACGTATTTCCCCAAACTAAATATATATATTACAGTAAAAAAAGTTTTCAGTTGTACTGTGACCTTAAACTGTCAGTGATGCTCTACAGTTTTTCAGTATCACAGATCAACAAACATAAGCAGGACAAACTCATTGGCTGTTGTCTTAAAAACTTCTGATGGCACTACAGTAGTTGCTGCTGCCAAGGTTATTACATACAGCTTTATTTTCTGTTTTCACAACCTTCTTTTCTCACAATTGGGCTAAATGCTGAGAGAGTGAGGGTATAATTACAGGGATAATCTACATTTCAAAAATATTACATGCTCCAACATGAAAGCACTGTGCATTTCAATAAATGCTGTGCAAGTCAACTTAAAGATATGTCCAACAATGAGATTAGGAAAAAGCTCCACGTTTTTCTCACAAAGAAATTAGATGGAAGAAGAGCTCTTAGTCACTGTAGATGAGCGGATGCATAGTTTTGTAATGGATGTGGTCAGGTGAGCTTTGAGGAATAACAGTATAAATAAATGTGTGTGAATGCTTATATTGTATAAACGTATTTATTTGCTCACTTAATTGACCTTTTTGAGCAGTTTGGACTTGAAAGTTAAATAGGAATCAGGATTATAGACAATAGGAAGGTAAAGGAGTATGATTAAAGGAGTTTCACTTTTTCAAACCCCTTTCAGACATAAGCACACAATTATACACAACATAATTATACATGTCATTATGATATTAAATTATCAAATCAAATAATGAACTTTTTATAGTTACTAAATGCCAGAATTAAAGAATAATTCATACACATTTTCTTCTGTCTTAAAAATCAGACATTTACATTTCTTTAGTCGGTATGATTGCCATAAAACTTAAGACCTTAGGTTCGAATTTTTCATAATAGTTGCTGGAATTAGCTGAACTGTAGTCGGCTTTTCCCACGTACACTTTTTCATCTCTCACATTTCTATAGGACTGACATCAGGCTCATGATGACCCCTCTGAAATATTGCCTTTGTTTTTATGTCCTTTTATTACTTTGCTTATGACACTTTGGACCAAGCTGTAACCTACCAGATAATATCTAGAGAATATTTTTGTACTTCCACATGATGTGCGTTTCAATAGTGGAGCCATAACTTGATCAAATGTCTCTAACCTGTCATTTATATATTAGAAATGTTTGTGTTAATTCTACCTGAACAAAAAACAGGACATTTTCTATGACAGTAGGGGGCGTCCCTAACCTCCTTAAACACTTTTACACTGTAAAAAAAAAAGTTTCCAACAGATTGCAATTTTGTTGTTTTCAATTAAGAAATCAATAAAGATTTTGTTCAGGAAATGTTGAATTTGTGGACATTTTCACCAGTTTTTTTTTTGTTTGTTTGTTTTTTGCTGAAGGTGACAGAGGCTTCTATAAACAGGCTTCCTTTTTAATGTGACTGAATATTGTTCATCACATTATAGAGACCTTTAATATTCATACTGGCACTCTTATTATGGAAAAGTCAACGGGTTGGAAATTCTTTGTGTATGTTTATTTAAATAATTACATATATAACACATTTACTAGTAGCTAATTTCTTATGTACACCTTGCTCTTATTGGCTTCATCCCCCATTTTTCCCTCCAAAGTCTCTGAATTCTTAGTTGTATTGTTTCCATAAGCTGTCAAAAACATTCCTAAAAGATGTGGGTCCATAGTGACATAAAAGGAATGTACAGGTTCTCCAGATGTGTTGACTGTATGTCCATGAAGCAACTCTCCTGCTTCGCCACATCCTAAAGGGGTTTGGCTGGATTGTGTTTGAAATTATTCCACATTATGTCGTGTCGATAAAGGATTTATATGATCAGGAACTACACCCTTTGCTGTTGGGGTGTTTAAAACACTCAGTACTTTGTTTAAAGTGTGCCAAAAATAGTTTAACAGTTTTAAGCACTGATACATGATTTTATGTTGCTTTAACCTAAATCTGATGCTGCATCTGAATATTACAGTAATAGCCAAGAGTCATCTGATCAGACTTTTAATTTGGCTAAACTTTGGTAAGCTACCGGACAGATTTTGGACTTAACTTGCTAAATACAGCACACTGCAAAAACTATCTGGAAATAAGTAAAAAAAATCTTAAATTAAGTATATTTAGCCTTAATTTGAGCAGGTAATTAAGATGATTTGCCAATGGAAAAAGTATGTTTACTCTTAAAATAAGATAATGAGATAATATGCACTTGTAATAAGACAAAGCAATTGTTTTTTTCTTATTTTAAATATAAATTGTCTTGTTCCAGTGGCGAAGTGTCTTACTTAAAGAAAAAAAAAGCACTTATTTTAAGAAAAAGTGACTTATTTAGACTTTTTGCAGTGCATGAGATGCTGCTGCAATTAAATATTTACACTTAACACAGATTTAACTTGCTACCTAATACTTACCAGCAGAGGGTGTTCTTGGTCCTCCTAGGTGGGGGGGTTAAAAAAAAAAAAAAGGAGTGTTTTTTATAATAAAGACAGCACTTGACAGCAGGATGAATCAACTCGTTTATTTTCCTTTCCCAGAGTTTGCTAAAAGTGGCCTAATTCATGTCCAGTTCACCTGAAAATTGTTGATCTCATCAGTGAAATTCATAAGAAAAAGTTACAGTCATGCTAGTTGCTACAGGATGGAAGTCTGAACCAGAGATTCAAGAGATTGTGGTTTTACTATACAAGTGGAAAGTGGAGCATTAAAGAGGAAAAAGTTTAAAAAACGTATTCGGGTACCAAATTGAAAACACATTGAGAGAAAATGTGGCATATTTCAAACTTAATGCCACTTTTTAAAGTATTCAAAATTGTACCATGGCTTTAAAGCAGTTCCTAGAAAAAAAGGACACTTTAAAATTAATAGTTTAATTACTCTTCTTTTTTTTTTTTAAGGGCGTAAAGGTCCGTAACGACAACCTGGGAAATGTTCTAATTTGGAACAAATAGCACTAAAGACGATAGAGCCCGTTCTGTCGGCCACTTTCATCTGATAAAATTACAGATTCAAGCAAATCTGCCAAATTCTTCAACTTCAAAGCTACTGTTTGCTCTCCAATCTCTATCTTAAACCTGGCAATAAATACGCTGATGGACTGCTCATATATTGACATCAAGAAATACTAAATTTTACAAAGTTTCATGGCATAAAGACATTGAAGGGAAGACATACTTCTTAGAAAATTAAAAAATAGAAAAAAAAACATGCACCTGCTGAATCCATTACAACAGAATTGAATTCATTTCAATTTAAAACCCACTGATTCAAACTTTAGTGCACCTGCTGTCACCTCCAGAATCTTACTGCAATGAAAAAGTTTTGCCTGGATTCAGAAAATGCATTCAATAAACCATCATGTGACCAGATGCTACAGCTGCAAAAAAAAACATCCTGTCTCCATTCACGCAAACATGCACACTAACGCACCAACAGACTCAGAAATGGGTGAAGGTAAAGCTCTTGCCCCCCCAACCTGAGACAATGATTGTCTTACATGCACACAGCATACAAGCTCTAGCTTGTTTCACAAAAATCATAAAATCATCTGTAGAATCCAAAAATCCTCGATACATTTTCAGAGGTTACATCAAGAAGGTATAATAAAGGTTCATTTGGGAAAAATTATCCTAATAACATTAATAATATAAAACTGTTAATACTGAAAGCAAACCCTGTGGAAGGTTCCGACTGTGTGTGCTCTCAAAACAGAAACTTTTGATCACATGGCAACTCTAGTGTACAAATAAAAAGAGAAAAAGTTAAATCAAGAGAAACTATGAAGTAGTACTATGGTTTTATACACATTATACACAAGTTAACAGTGATCCCTAGATGTAGCTATTTATAAACTTGTCTCACAAGCAAAAGGCGCTAGATCACAGTGGGTTTCACCTAGGTTAACGATTTAGATTGCTAATCCTAATTATACTCGTCGACCACTAGGGGGCGGAAAGATATATTTATATATGTGGCAGGAGCTAATGGTTCTATAATGGGGTACTATCAAAAGTTATCCAGGAATTCAGCCACACTGTAGCGCTCTCATCCCAGCAGCATGAGTTATTGAGCAAGAAAAGTGACACAATTTATTAAAGAAATAATTTGTTAAATAAATATCTTATATATTGGAAATATATTTAATGAATATATGTATTTATGAATTATAGGAATGATAAAACTAAATTTAGAAATTTCCAAATATGTATAGTTACTCCATTTAAAATGAAAACTCTTTGTATGTGAAAAGCCTTTATAGTTATTAAAAAATTTGACTTTTTCTCCACAATATTGGTTTGCAGAACAATTACAGTCTCATGAAGGAATTTAAATGTGAAACATGTAAATACTCTAAAAATTCTTTAATTTGTAATTTACCAATTTTATTAATTCGATATAGCATTTACTGTATATAAGTTTTATTCAATAGCATGACCTATATATTTATCTGACAAATTATTGACTTGTGTCACTTTTGGCTCTCGACATGCAGGGAGGTCTCAGCTCCTGTGGCTTTGTCAGGTCTGTGCTTGCAACCATGTTGCACCGCTGGCTCATAAGAGAGCAGCTATGCTCTTAAATAAGAAGCTAAAAGCGGGTGTGTGTCTGTGGATAAAAAGTAATTGGCCAAACTAGCTGCCAGTAGTCAACTTTACCATTGACAGGTTAGGAAAGAGTACATTTTGACTGTACATGTAACTACTGGACTACATTGTTCATTCTGTAGCCTTCTATAGAGAGTGTTTGCTGCAGGGAAGCTGAGCTTCGTCGGCAGTGGGGGAGCACGGCGTGACGGGTCGTCTAGGCAGGTAGTAAGGTGGCGTTATCCCAGGTAAGTGTGGATCGGTTGCGTCGCCGGCTGCCGTGTTACAGCGGGCCCTTGAACTGGTTCCCAGAGAGATGCTGCCTGATGGACATTTTTGATCCTGCGGCATCGCCCAGTTTTCTCCACACCACCTGTAAAGGAGAAGCAGAAAGGAGGCGCTGAGTGATGCAGCAGAGCCGCTGCTGTTCCACTGTGTTTGGAGGAGGTGGGGTCGGATATGTTTTAGAAGAGAGAGAGAACTTCACACAGCCACAGCAACCTCCCAGCTACTTTATATAAATAATTTAAATCAAGGTTCATATTTTGAGTAAAATTAGAGAAATAAATGAACTTTCCTTTAATGTATCTGAATATGCAAAACAGTACTGAACTACCTTCCTCTGTGTGAGGCTTCTATGTAAAGGGGCCCTCTGGGGACCCTGGGAATATTACAAAAGAACTATTGTAGTGTTCCCCAGATTCCTAGCCTGTCACATACCTTGGACAGCCAGACTGCGCTTCTCTCTCTCATCAGTGCACCTTTTATTCAGCACAAGGCCTTTTCAGCACCGACAGAGAGAGAGATGGTGGAAAATGAGGGGCAGCAGAGAGGAAGACTAGATAGGCGAGAATATGTGGTTTTGGTGGTGGGGGGTCGGGAGGGGGGGGGTGCTCTTTTCCCTGCTGTTATAGAGTAATTGCTTTGACAGCTCAACTGTGAGCCTCCACTGATGGCTTCCAGAGCAGCATTTGTTTCAGAAAAGAGAAAAGAATCAAAAGTTGGGAACAAGTGGAGAGAAACAAGGCCGCTCACACTGGAAGAACAGAAATATCAAGCTAGAGCTGTACTGTAATGTGTACTACATATAAAATGTAGTGTGATCCTATGTAGGTCAAAGCTCTAATATTATAAGGCTACATCGCCATCAGTCAGAACGATTGGCGACACATTCCTTGTACTTTAACAGGTATAAGGCCTTTTTATATGTGCATTTACAAAATTATTTTAGATAAAGTTGGAATTTATGTAAAATACTTACACATAGTGTTAACATTTCACATTACAATTAAAAAGAAAATGTATTTATTTTAAAACAGGACTTTAAAATAGAAAAAAAGCATAACAAGTGAAATTGTGTATGAAAAGAAAATTCCAGGGTTTTCCCAGGATAAGGAGCGTGACTATCCATTTAAAAAAAAGCTGAATCAACCCTAACGTCAGTTCATCAAGATATATAGGCGCCACCATGTTTGGACTTGGTACAGTGATAAGCTGACAAATCAAAATTCTTTAGAGCAAATCCTGCAGCTGTAGCCTCCAAAGTAGCTTTAAGGTTTGCAATGATCAGTTAGAAAGACACTACTCATGTCAAATTAAATTACACTTTAAATTAGTTTGTTTTGGTCTTACGTTGCACATCTCTCGCACGATGGCCTTCTCCTTCTCACTGAGGTCGTCCTCATAGTCCTTAGGAGTCTGCTTGTCCAGATTCTCGTGGACCTCTAGAACCTGATTAAACAACAGGAGAAGCTCTGGTTTCAATGACTGATTAAAGAAAAAAGAAGATTGTTATAAACGCTAACTACATTAACCACATTACACAAACGTATGTGAGATGAGCCAATGACTGACCTTCATGGCGTGCACCACTGCCTCAGGCTTCTGGACGCAGGACAGGTAGCCGGTGGCTGGAGACGATTCACTGGTTGGTAGACGGTTTGTTCCCTGTAGAAGAACGACAGCAATATTTTTGTCATCCTTTTTAAAATAAACCAAACACAGCAGCAGCAAAATGCAAATAAAGGGCACATTGCAAAGGTAAATTGGAGGCTTTAAATCAGTGCTCTTATCACATCTGCTGTCACTCAGAGTTTAAACTAAATGCTCCTCCTCCCTGATCTCCTCCAATGAACATAAACCAAAACAAAGACAGTTCACCACACTCTCTCCACCTGGATCAGGATAAAAAATACAAGACATTTCCTGTACTGCAGCACTGAAAATGTCATCCCTTTCATCACAGCTCACATCACCTCCATTGGACTTCTTTTTTTTTTTTGCAATCGGTTCCAAGGTCTGCAACCTGCACAGCGTGATTTAAACTGCTGTGATGGGAGCAGTGAGCCAGCAAGGAGAAGACCAGAGTGTTTGCTTGACTCATCTCACCCCCTGGTTAGCTCCAGACAGTGGCTCTCTGTTTGGGGGACACAGAGATCTCAGGGACACACAATGGCAGCATTCTGTGTGACCTGGCATCAGGACCCAAGAATTAGACACAGCTCTCTGGCTCTGTTCACCAGGATTCAATTCATGCCTGTGATGCTTTTATCAGCTACCTCCATGAGCCAGTTTGGATGCCCAAACATTCTTCTAGCAATAATAACCCAGTGATTTCCCCCTAGACGAGACAAACATACATTTTTGTCTGTTTCTGATCATTCCTAACATTTGCTTTGTTTGTTTTCTTTTAAGAAAAGTCTCCATCATACCTGGTTAAGCACAAAGATTATTATAATCATCACCCTTTCAGTTAAGTTGATTTTAACTCCATAAAAGATTGGCTCCATTCTGAAAGAGGCCATCTGTTTTTAATAGCCAATCGAAACTAATAAATAATGGTTCCAGGCTTAAGTTCAAAACAAATATGCACAGGATTTAGTTTCTATTGGTTAATGAGCAACTACAGTACACAATCTGCCCTGGTTCTTGTTTGCTTTGTTTTTATTTTGCATACTTAAAAGATAAGCAAATACCACAAGCGGCATTTGATCAATTTATCTGATCTAAAATCTATTATTCACAGGAAGTAAAAGAGGAATTGGCTGGTTACTGCACTTGGATGATTTTCAGCTCTATAGGTGTTAATTAGGGACCTGATCAATTGACAATCAAGTATATGATCATGCATCAATTTATTTGAATTAAAAATTACTTCTTTTTTTTTTAACTCCTCTAGGGGTTTCCTAAAATATTTTATAGTAGATTCTGATGGCTGTATGTAGGAACCATCTTTAGAGGGTTAGGGTTTTCTCCGACGCTGTTGTCGCAGCTGATAACGGCAGAAGACATCACACTCTCCACAGCAGAACTTTAAAAACATCTTTCTATATATAAAAAAAGAACACTGCTCTCCTATTGTTTTATTATTCAATTTATTCAGTAGTTTGCTCTCTGTAGAACATATGCAATACTGAAATTATATTACTTTTGGCTCTTAAAAGGTATAGTGGAGGATCATCAAAATAAATGGTCCTTCCAATTGCCATTCATTCTCGTGGTATGTTTACGAAAGGCCGTCCAACGTGCTCGTCCCCATTTTCACTTGAAAATTGCAAATCTTCCTTTGGAAAGTAAGCTTGTATGAGCGATGCAAACAGCCACTTTTAAACGGCGTGCATGAGGAGAAATGGGTTTGTGCGTGCTATCCTACGCGTTTAATAAGCGTTCCCTCTCGGTAGCGGGTACAGGGTTGTGCATATGCATTTTTTTTAAGTGGAGAGGGCAGGTCTTTTCAAAAATTGGCAAAAAAATCCTCCATTATACTGTTAAGGACAAGATAAATTATCATGAGGGGCCAGATTTGGTTCGAGGGCCTTAACACATTCTTTAGGGAAAACACTAAAAATTATGCTTACGTTGGTAGCTGCACTAGGGAGCCATCTTTTTAGCTACCACAGCTGCTTATCAAGCGAAAGCTGTGACAAAAGTGGAATTTGGTCAATCGTGACATGACACAACAACAGCCAAAAATCTGTCTCTGTAAAGTGCTCTTAGATGACATGTGCTGTGAATTGGCACTATATAAATAACCCGAACTGAAATACAATATCTACGTACAACAGGAGGGAAAACATTTTTTTGAATGAGTTTTCTAACAGTAATCATAAGGAACTGTAGAAGTTTGTCAGGATTAGGGCCCTAGATATAAAAGGAAATTTGTCGAAATATTAATGTACACCATATCACTATGTGGACGCATTGAGGCTCTCTATGCATGTAATATTTTTTGATCCATATTTTTTTCAATGCATCAAAAAATATTTGTTAAGAAACAGCAAGCAACTATTTTAATGACATATTGTCATAGAAACAGTACATTTAATATAGATTTTTCTTTTAAAATAGCTGGATAGATAGCCACCTTTTACTGATTACATTATCACAAGTTATAATATCAAAAACAAAACTACAACATATATTCTTAGGTCATGATATTAGGTTAGAGTAATAGCAGTTAAGTGCTTTATGATGATGGCGAGCAACACTGAAAAGAACAGGCATGTTTTTGATGATGCTTGTTGGTCAGAGGTCAAATTTTGAATGGTTTAAATTACTTTAGCCAAAGAATTTTGTGGTTAAACTATCAGCGCTGGCCTCTTGAGGTTTACCCTTCTAAATCAGACAGACCGTTTAGTTTTTGTTGAATGCAAAATAAACATTTTAAATACTCCGATCCAGCGGATTTCAAATCCAATAGTTTATCTTAGCATACCAAAGCAGCAGTGCCTTGGGGAACAAAAGAAATATAGTTCTGCAGAAACTGTAGCAGTATCGGTAACTGGCAGATCAGAGGAATGAATGTAGGCACAAACAATTTCCACAAAGGCTTCAGTTTCTCAGACTGCTACGGTACAGTCCTGCATGTTTTAGATTTTCCCATGCTTCAACACATCAGATCTCTCTTTTGCACAATATTCATTTATGCAGAGGTTTTGTTGATGGGCCATTCATGCGATTCAGCTGTTTTCAAGGAGGAAAACATTTAAACCATGCAGGCAACTGCCCTGAGGCTCAGTTTTCACTTTATTTTGTAGTCCCTGAGCTGTGCGTTGACAAGAAAAATCCAGACAGTAGAAAGACAGTGTTTACCGCTTATCTGAATGTTGTTTAGGGAAGGCTTCACTGCATCAACAGGCCTTGCAAAAGGGGAGGGGCAACTCAAACAGTGTTAGATCAGTTAGAGTATACATAATCAGATCAGAATGGAAAAGTGTTTGGGTTAGTCACGCATACAGACTGCTCCCCCCCCACTACTTTCCTTCTCTTCTCTCCAAACATTTGTAGTCTGACAACCTCACTCCCTCCCTCACCCACGCTCATTGACCTGAAACTCTGTGTGGATGAGACAAAGGACTAAACACTGTAAAAAGAAGGAGCTGGTGGAGCGAAAGGGGTACAGAACGTCCCGTTCTCTTAAATTCAGCTTTTATTCATAAAAATGAATGCATGCCACATTGCCTTACAGATGGATAAACTTTAGCTAAATTTGGACACAAGCTAATTGTTTAATAATTATACTGCAAAAATGATCTAGAGATAAGAAAAAAAAATAGAAAAAGTCAATAAAAAAGCTTTAATTAATTGTATTTACCCTTAATGTAAGTAACTAAATAAGATGATTTGCCAATGGAATGAGTATATTAAAATAAGATAATTAGATAACATGCACTTGAAATTAGACAATGCAATTGTTTTTTCTTATTTTAATTTTCTGATGATTTTTTAAATCATCTTGTTCCAGAGTGCCTGCCATACCTCCTCAATTCAGGAAAAATCCACTTATTAAAAAAAAAAAAAATACTTACTTATATTTCAATTTGTTGCAGTGCAGTTAGTAGATAGTAACTTCAATTTTACAATGGAATACGGATTGACAAATATATGTTGTTAATCTATTGATTCATTTGAGTTATTCAAATTAGAGGGAGAAAGACTAAAGCAGAGCCCAACTGGTCCTTAGAGCTCTAAATATACTTCATTTGGGTTTTTTCTAAGTTGAAACTTGTTTATGGTGAAAAAAGTTTCAATACAGGAGTACAATCTAACTAATATGCATGAAAGTGCATTGATTTAAGCTGCTATGCTTTATTAAAGTACTGTGTTTCATAAGAGATGCATTGAGAAAAAAGCTGCTCTCTACAATGGGCTCATTTTTATCAAACCCTTTTTATTCAGTAAACAAGCTATAACACCTGACATCCCACGAAACATAAATTCTGGTAGTTTCAGTATCACTATGTTAAAAAATAAATAAATAAAGAATTCAGTGATTTTAAAAACATTTCTAATTGAAACTATTATTTTCAACAAAATATCAGAAGATGTCTGTGGTTTACTTAGGCTGTGAAAAAGCGAGAAAGAGCAAGACTTGTAGCAGATGACAGAGAGACAAAATAATGCATCTTGCTTTATTTTTCTGAGTCTCAATCAGGTTAGATTTAGAAATGCTTTTCGACTCTAGCAAATCTCTAGGAAAGGTAACTGTTAACTGTGCTTACATGCTAATTACTAATGTAAGATTAAAAAAAAATAGTAGTATATACTAAATACAGCCCGCAAATGTAAACGTAATTATCTTCTCCCTGCTTGGAAATATCAGTAAAACCCTGTTTTATGATGATATATACATAAAACAGGTAAAACTAGAGATACAGTCTTCTTTGAAATGGCTTTCCTTTGATCAGACTAAAAATAATTGCCTAGTCTTTCCACCCCGGACATTCTCAGGGTCAGAAGGAGGGATAGATTGAAGAGGATTATTGCTTTCATATTGGGATTCAGAACAAACGGGCTCAGAGGAGGCAGAGAAAAGCTTAAGGGTTTAGATATAGGATCAAGAGAATGGGGTTCAGACTCCTTCTAAGTTTCTTTTATTGCCTGTTTCTTTTCCAGTGTGCCTCCACCACCCTGTGACCCATCCCTTGTCTTCCCACTGATTGAGTTCCCTTCCTGTCATGAGTAATGCAGAGCCGAATTGCCTGTGGGAATGTAATTGAAGAGTCTCTAGTAAAGTGAATTAAAGCTAACCTGATTTGATTTAAAATTGTAGGCACCAGTGTCCTCCTCCTAACAATTAGGCGTGCCTGAGTTTATTTTGGTATGAAATCAGACTCCAAATCCACACTTAACCACATCTAAAACGTTCATTGTTGTTATGACATTTGTCTGAGCAGGTAAGTGAGGGTTGGCCTCCCTCTGTGCGCGTCAGTGTGTGTTTCCTGGGTGCTGACCATGTGCATGGCCTCCTGGCGCTGGGGCAGTGAGGACAGCTGGGACTCGGAGTGGTACAGCGTCATTCCCTTCCTCAGGGCTCGAAGGTCACCTGGGTTACACTGCTGTGCACACGTGGCCACAAAACAAACACACCACAAAAAGAGAAGAGATAAAATGCGTCAATGAAGGGACACTGAAACACACCGAAAGAGCTTACTTTAATGCATATAAATCAGTCAAAACTATTTAAGTTATTGGCTGGTCAGACATTAAAAACAGATTTTTTGTGGTTTGCTGAATAAATGGGGTTAAAGTTCTTGCATTTATCCTGTTGGATTCAAAACTATTTCCTCTATCTAAGAACCTACTGCTCATTTATCTTTCTCTCAATCTTAAGAATGTTAATTTAAGAATATTTCAAAATCAGAATCAGTCATTTGAGACCCCAGAAAACACCAACAGCAGGAGAAGACCAGGAAAAGCATAAACTTTTCAAATAATGTTTTTTCTAACTCAGCTGCTAACACCTGTCAATACATATGTGTATTTGGAGCTTTATATATGAAAATGATATATTAGTGTATTACACAGTTAAATAAATTAAGTTAAAGAAAAGGCAGGGAGAAAAAAGGGCTATTGTGCCATGACTTAAAGCCAAAAAATAAAGCCGAAAACATGCTGCAGAGATCTGACACATGAACTAAGAGGTGGATCATCCATCTGCTGATCTTCCACAGTATGCCAGGTTTTCAACAAATAGCCTTTTGGGATCAACTTGTCTTCAAAACATATCTTTATAGACCATTAATGAAATTTGAGCAAGCTGTCTTTTGGCAGGCTGCTGCTAAAGTGCATCTGTGCAGTTTCTAAACCTTTTTTTACCCCAAATCACTCGCTGATCAGTTAAGTTGCTTTAGGACTGCAGCTAAACTGAACTCTCTAAAAGTAAATAGAACTAGAAAAAAAAAAGCACTGTAAGGTGAAAATTCAAAAAAAGGCAAACAGGACTTTAAGGACAAAAAAATGTAACTATAACAAACTCAAGCTCATGAGCTCATTCACTAATTTAAAGATTAATTTTGTCCCATTGAGTTGCAATTTCATTCAACTTTATTCATGTAACCAGTAAACAAATGGTTTTTGCATCTCTGTACACTTTGAGTATCATAACAAATGCTCTAATGTAAAGCATTCTGGAAGAACAATGGAGGCATTAAGAAAAAACACCTTTCAAGACAAATTGTATTATTTCATATCTATCTATACTTCACACTCCTGATAGTGTATGAATTATGGAACTCCACTTAGGTAAGCTAAATTGTATCTACACCTGATATAAGGGCTGGGATTATATTATATTATATTATATTATATTATATTATATTATATTATATTATATATATATCTAATAAGGTATATAATAATAAATCATAAGATCAGAAAAAAAAGTTTTTTATTCCCTTAATTTCAATATTAGATTTGTTGAGGACCCAAATAAAGAGTTGAAGAAGCAGAGATTATCTCTTGTCAAAACAAGAAACTCAGGAACCAAAAACTAGGAAACTAGTTATAAACCGAAGGACATAAAGAAGGAGTGAGGGAAGGAAGGAATGAAGAGAATCCAGCAAACAGTAACTGAAGAGGAGGGGTATATATGACAAACAGAACAAATAATTGAATAATAAACTGATTGGAAGCAGGTGTGGAATGAAGGCTCTAGAAGGGACCTAGGGCAAAGGGGACTGACAAAATAGGGTGGCAGAGAGTAAACAAGAAATACAGCAGGTCTTAAATATAACTAGAAATTAACTTGGATGATAATAAATTGAAAAATAACTTGACTTAGAAAACACAGAAATCAAAGTACAACTGAAAACCCAAAGTAAAAACTTAAACAGAACCAAAAAGTCCAGAAATGGCAGAATCAGTAAACTTATATAGTTTCTAGATTCAGAGGATTTGCTTTCAAACCATCAAACAACCTAACAAGAATTTTTACATCTCTTGCATTTATACATTAAGATCTCCCTTCCAACACCCCCACCGAAGCACATCTCTAACTAAATTGCACTTCATCTCATTGCAGGTGTATCCCTTTTATGTCTTCAAATATGGCCTCAACATTGCACAGCACACGCTAGATTTTGTCCTGATTCGTAGCCAAAGATAGCCGTTCCAGGGGGACACAAACCAGCCCTGCATCGCCCTGTAGGCAGGGACATAGCTCCATCCCTGGTCGCTGTGACATTTCTAATGTCACGGATGACTGTTCCCCAGTGCAAGGCGTGGTTTCTAACCACATGTGATGCTTGGAAGCCTCTATGTTATATATGGTGTTATATCTCTGCATGAGTAAAAGTCAGGTAAATACTTGCATACGTTTCCTGAGCACAAATCCAAAATTGGCATTCCTTGTCAGTTCATTCATGTGTTTCTTCCTTGACATTCATCTAACCTTTCCTAATCTTTCTCTCGGCACTTCTTGATCTATCTTTTGGCTTTTCAAATTCAACCCCACAATTCTTCACTCCAGGCTGCTTCGAGAGCCTTGAAATGTCAAACGAAAAAGAATGATGAACTCATTCTAGATAAAATCAGCTCTTCACATAAACTTAACCAGTAAAGAATGAATTAGACATTCACTGGGATTGCATTGTGGTCTTCCATTTAAGTAAAACCAACTGATTGGTTTGATGTTGCTCTCAAGCATTAGTTGACCTTTACCACTATGGCTTAAGAAGATATTTCGTTGCAAGACAACCAAGGATAAATAAAACTCAGGGCCTTTTTCTTCAATCCATCCATCAGTGTTCTTGGTGTTGACAGGAAGAAGCTGTGAATGTCAGGCATCGTTTTCCCTTTGAGTTATGAGGTGCTGTTTTCAGGGGAGTAAAAGAGGGAAGAAAGGACAGCGATGAGATCTGTTCGCTTTTCCTACCTCTCTCTAAGAATAATAACTAATTATACTCAAACTTACAAGGTGCTAAGTTTAACATTCAATACCAGGGTCTTCTACAGAAGAGTTTAACACTTAATCTCACCCACACAACACAACACACAATACAGAATTCACTAGAATAATAAGACTATATACTACTCTCCTTTTGAGACATCTTACGATATTTTTTGTTTAAACATATGATCGTTTTACATGTGACATACTGGATTTTAAAGACTAATCAGTGTTAAATTGTTACAGTCTCTGTTCGACTAGTCGTATTCTGTGGTTTAGTAATTCTTGTCTCAATCTTAATTGATTCTAATGAAAAGGGATGTTGCCATTTACCAATATAAAAAGCTTTCAACGAGGACAAAATGTATTTTCAAAAGGTTTCTCTTAATGCACAATAAATCCATACTTTAAGTCAGAAATTGAGTCTCAAATCAGATAAAGCTTGGCATCACCCTAAAAGCACCGTTTTTAACTGCTGGAGTTTAAATTAATAGTTTTTGCCCGAGATATAAAGGCATTTGATCATGAAATAAATCTATAAAAGTCTTATTTGGAAGAAAATAAAAATGTAGTTATTGAGTAGTTCGATTGTAGTCCCATCTCCTAGGTCCATGGTTTCAACACAGTAACAAAGACTTACAAATTGGATACTTCTCCATGTGCTTGAGTGGCAGGAATTTGTGTATTTGGTGGGAAGCAACAACTGGAGGAGTTCCATTCCAAAATAGAAGCAATGGTTTCTTTTTTTTAGCATGAAAACCAACATTTTGTTGCATTAGCAAACAGAGGAGAGACGTTTGGAATGCAAACTTGGTGATTCAGCCCTAAATACATATTTCAAAGTAGCTACATTGTAAAACCAAGTTATAATCCCCTTTGAATTTAGCACGTAACTTTCAATGTCATTTTGTAAATGAAGCCTGAAAGACATGTATCAAAGAAAAATAAACCTTACAGTCATCAGTGACTAGTCTCTTAATAATCTGTTCATGATCCACTGGGATTATGGCTATTTTTCTTCGTGCCTAAGATGTAAAATTGTTTAAAACATAAATATTTATTTGGCTGAATGAGTTACTCCAATTTCAACACAGATGGCTGCAAATAAATACCAATAGTTTACAATCTATTACAGTATGACTTAAAAGAAAATAATAGCTCTAGACTATTTCAATACATACAGTCACTCCCTTTGTATAAATAGACTAAACAGTTCGTGGTAAACAAAAAATCCTTAAACTGTTCTAGAACCTTTTTCTGGGGTAAATGTATTTTAAAGCAAAGTTTGAGTGGCCCTATAATATGATAAGCAGTAATACACAGTAATAAGCAAGCATGTTACAGAACACAAAAAAAAACTATATCACAGTTCATAAGACCAGGCATAGATAAAGTACAGATTTCCCCTCAGGAGGTCCAGAATGTTTTTGTTTGCATTTAGAAAGTCAGAAACTACCATCACAGCCATCTGAGAACAGAGGCAA